TTTATTCGTCGCTATTCATAGATACATAAACATTTGGCAAATTAAAAGTCAAATCTAAATTATTTGACACTTTGTATTTGACTTTAAGATACATAAATATTGGAAAAAAATACAAAATAATTCACAATGGATACACTCACCTGGCGTCGATACACTCACCCTGGCGTTGATACAGTCACCCTGGCGTTGATACACTCACACCTGACGTTGATACACTCACCCTGGCGTTGATACAGTCACCCTGGCGTTGATACACTCACACCTGACGTTGATACACTCACCCTGGCGTTGATACACTCATCCTGGCGTTGATACACTCACCTAGCGGTGATACACTCACCTGGCGTTGATACACTCACCCTGGCGTTGATACACTCACCCTGGCGGTGATACACTCACCTGGCGTTGATACACTCACCCTGGCGTTGATACACTCACCCTGGCGTTGATACACTCACCCTGGCGGTGATACACTCACCTGGCGTTGATACACTTACCCTGGCGTTGATACACTCACCCTGGCGGTGATACACTCACCTGGCGTTGATACACTCACCCTGGCGTTGATACACTCACCCTGGCGTTGATACACTCACCCTGGCGGTGATACACTCACCTGGCGTTGATACACTCACCCTGGCGGTGATACACTCACCTGGCGTTGATACACTCACCCTGGCGGTGATACACTCACCTGGCGTTGATACACTCACCTGGCGTTGATACTCACCCTAGCGTTGATACACTCACCTAGCGGTGATACACTCACACCCTGGCGTTGATACACTCACACCCTGGCGTTGATACACTCACACCCTGGCGTTGATACACTCACCTAGCGGTGATACACTCACACCCTGGCGTTGATACACTCACCTAGCGGTGATACACTGACACCCTGGCGTTGATACACTCACCTAGCGGTGATACACTCACCTGGCGTTGATACACTCACCTAGCGGTGATACACTCACCTGGCGTTGATACACTCACCTAGCGGTGATACACTCACACCCTAGCGGTGATACACTCACACCCTAGCGGTGATACACTCACACCCTGGCGTTGATACACTCACACCCTGGCGTTGATACACTCACCTAGCGGTGATACACTCACACCCTGGCGTTGATACACTCACCTAGCGGTGATACACTGACACCCTGGCGTTGATACACTCACCTAGCGGTGATACACTCACCTGGCGTTGATACACTCACCTAGCGGTGATACACTCACCTGGCGTTGATACACTCACCTAGCGGTGATACACTCACACCCTAGCGGTGATACACTCACACCCTAGCGGTGATACACTCACACCCTGGCGTTGATACACTCACCTGGCGTTGAAGAGCTGCAGGAGAGGGCTGCCCTTGGGGAAGGCGAGGGCCACGAACATAGAGTACAAGGAGTCCTTGGACAGGTAGAAGTTGCATCTGCCTACAAGAACAGATGGATGGATCAGCTGCTCTAAAGTATTCGGTCAACTGATGTAGAGTTGGTGTGTACTTTAAACCTACTATATAATCTACAGTGTATATATATATATATATATATATATATATATATATATATATATATATATATATATATATATATATATATATATTTGTGAACTAAAGTCTTTGAAAATGTAATATGTTTTACGAAACGCGCCCGTGTCGCGTCAGACTAGAAATAAAAATGAATTTTGGAGAATTGATTTTTGATTTACCTCCAACAGTAAGCGTAATGTACGAAAGATTGAGAAAATTCGTGTTAGAATTATTAATCTTACTTTTTCGGTCATATTTAATAATATATATATATATATATATATATATATATATATATATATATATATATATATATATATATATATATATATATATATATATATATATTTTAATAAAGCCATATACTCATTAACCCACATATAAATATTTGTAAATTATACACTAACCCATATTGTATCAGCATTTTCACATATATGTATTGTTTATATATTTTTTCTTATAGCTACAGTATATTTAAGGGTCTCGGTAGTAGAGTCGGATTCGTTCTCGTCTCACCATCGATAATTCCAGTTTCGTATTCCAGACGGGATAGAAATGATAGGTCGTGTATCCTATCATCTATGCTATGACGTGCTAAATTGAATATACATATATTTGGCATGTATATTTGGCATATCTAAATCCTCGTATTTAGATAGTACTTATAATAACGATATGAACTATCGTACATATATTAACATAATGGACAATTAGAAAGTAGATTTAGTACTAATGAATTTGGACAAACTGGAAAAGTTTTTGTATATATGTTGCTAATGAAACCTTACCTGAGGTCTAAGATAGTACATATATGTGCTATACTAGGCCTAGAAATATTTGTGTGGTATTTAGCTCTATATTTTCCCTGACTATAACGTGAATAGCAACAAATTCTACTAATTTCCCATTACGTCAATATATGTGTACTATGATCTACAGAGTTACACAAAAAGTATCATTTAAACAGGAGGATGATTGATGATTGATTGATAAAGATTAAGCCACCCAAGAGGTGGCACGGGCATGAATAGCCCGTAAGTGGTACAATTTGTTTTTTTTCTCAGTATTCTGAGGTTGCATTTAACCATCAAGCTGTTATCGCGGGGGAGGATACTGCTTCACAGTCTTTATGAGGGGTGTCCAGCTGCTGGACACCTTTGTTGACCAGGAGAGTGGCTGTGCAGGAGGATGGGTTGGGTTGCAAACATATATACGTAAATATGAGTCGATTGATTGATAAAGATTAAGCCACCCAAGAGGTGGCACGGGCATGAATAGCCCGTAAGTGGTGGCCCTTTTGAGCCATTACCAGTATCAAGAGCTGATACTGGAGATCTGTGGAGGTGCGGCTGCACCCTGCGTGACGGGAGATGTCTCCCGTCTTAATATGAGTCATCTGCTAGAAACGTTTACAGCCAAAGAACAAAAACAACAAAACGTTCAGTAACGTTCAACAGCGATTAACAACAGCAACGCCTCAAACGTTTGGGGTGGGGGGGGGGGGGGGCAGAAAGACGCGCCAATATCTACCTGTATTGGCCAGGTCTTTGGCCATAAACTTTTTAATGGTGTTCTCCTCGAGAAGGGCGGCATTGTGGTCGCTGGTCAAGTGGTCCCTCACGAACTCCGCCAGCTGTAAGTTGGCGAAGAACTTGCCCCGGTGTCGTAACTCCCTTGCCAGCTTCTCGAAGGCGCCGCTAGTGGCATTCTGGAAGGCAAGAGAAGAGGGGAATTATGAAGACACAGCGCCAAGCCACCACGACTATATAACACTTGGAAAGAATAAAGGTTTGGGGACAACCACACACTTGTGGACGGTCGGGGATTGAACGCTCTCGACACAGTTCATGCTACAACACGTCAACATTGTTGGTTGCAACAGTACGTCGGCTGCAGGAAGTGGACGAGGGAGGCGGCCGTCGACATACCTGGACGAGGGAGACGAAGGAGGTGTTGCCCTCGAGGAACAGGGCCAGGGACTGGTCGTTGAGGAGGTCCTCGAGCGAGTCGACGGTCGCCGGCAGCGACTTCACCGTCAGTAACGAGGAGAAGGAGCTCCTGAAGGCAGAGAAGGAGAGAGTAAGAGGCTCCTGCAGGCAGTGAAGGAGAGAGTAAGAGGCTCCTGCAGGCAGTGAAGGAGAGAGTAAGAGGCTCCTGTAGGCAGTGAAGGAGAGAGTAAGAGGCTCCTGTAGGCAGTGAAGGAGAGAGTAAGAGTCTCCTGCAGGCAGAGAAGGAGAGAGTAAGAGGCTCCTGCAGGCAGAGAAGGAGAGAGTAAGAGGCTCCTGTAGGCAGTGAAGGAGAGAGTAAGAGGCTCCTGTAGGCAGTGAAGGAGAGAGTAAGAGGCTCCTGCAGGCAGAGAAGGAGAGAGTAAGAGGCTCCTGCAGGCAGTGAAGGAGAGAGTAAGAGGCTCCTGCAGGCAGTGAAGGAGAGAGTAAGAGGCTCCTGCAGGCAGTGAAGGAGAGAGTAAGAGGCTCCTGTAGGCAGTGAAGGAGAGAGTAAGAGGCTCCTGTAGGCAGTGAAGGAGAGAGTAAGAGGCTCCTGCAGGCAGTGAAGGAGAGAGTAAGAGGCTCCTGCAGGCAGTGAAGGAGAGAGTAAGAGGCTCCTGCAGGCAGTGAAGGAGAGAGTAAGAGGCTCCTGTAGGCAGTGAAGGAGAGAGTAAGAGGCTCCTGCAGGCAGTGAAGGAGAGAGTAAGAGGCTCCTGTAGGCAGTGAAGGAGAGAGTAAGAGGCTCCTGCAGGCAGTGAAGGAGAGAGTAAGAGGCTCCTGTAGGCAGTGAAGGAGAGAGTAAGAGGCTCCTGCAGGCAGTGAAGGAGAGAGTAAGAGGCTCCTGCAGCCAGAGAAGGAGAGAGAAGCGTCACCTCCCGGGATTGATCTCGTCGTGTAAACACACTTAAGAGGCTCTCAGTGTAAACTACAGTGGTCCATGATGTAAGACGAAGTGTCATCTCTCTCTAGGTGAGTACACACACACACACACACAGACAGATGGCAGGTATGAACTTTCTCACTTGAAATACGAGGTGAAGATGAGAGACACGAACATCCAGGTGAGACACGTGATCCTTATGGCTGTTCCTCTGGGCTGCCACGTCAGACCTAAGGGTAGGGAGAGAGAGGGCAGGTCAGACCTGAGGGTAGGGAGAGAGAGAGGGCAGGTCAGACCTGAGGTAGGGAGAGAGAGAGGGCAGGTCAGACCTGAGGGTAGGGAGAGAGAGAGGGCAGGTCAGACCTGATGGTAGGGAGAGAGAGGGCAGGTCAGACCTGAGGGTAGGGAGAGAGAGGGCAGGTCAGACCTGAGGGTAGGGAGAGAGAGAGGGCAGATCAGACCTGAGGGTAGGGAGAGAGAGAGGGCAGGTCAGACCTGAGGGTAGGGAGAGAGGGCAGGTCAGACCTGAGGGTAGGGAGAGAGAGGGCAGGTCAGACCTGAGGGTAGGGAGAGAGAGGGCAGGTCAGACCTGAGGGTAGGGAGAGAGAGGGCAGGTCAGACCTGAGGGTAGGGAGAGAGAGAGGGCAGATCAGACCTGAGGGTAGGGAGAGAGAGAGGGCAGGTCAGACCTAAGGGTAGGGAGAGAGAGAGAGAGGGCAGGTCAGACCTGAGGGTAGGGAGAGAGAGGGCAGGTCAGACCTGAGGGTAGGGAGAGAGAGGGCAGGTCAGACCTGAGGGTAGGGAGAGAGAGAGGGCAGGTCAGACCTGAGGGTAGGGAGAGAGAGGGCAGGTCAGACCTGTGGGTAGGGAGAGAGAGAGGGCAGGTCAGACCTGAGGGTAGAGCGAGAGAGAGGGCAGGTCAGACCTGAGGGTAGGGAGAGAGAGGGCAGGTCAGACCTGAGGGTAGAGCGAGAGAGAGAGAGGGCAGGTCAGACCTGAGGGTAGGGAGAGGGAGGGCAGGTCAGACCTGAGGGTAGGGAGAGAGAGAGGGCAGGTCAGACCTGAGGGTAGGGAGAGAGGGCAGGTCAGACCTGAGGGTAGGGAGAGAGAGAGGGCAGGTCAGACCTGAGGGTAGAGCGAGAGAGAGGGCAGGTCAGACCTGAGGGTAGGGAGAGAGAGGGCAGGTCAGACCTGAGGGTAGGGAGAGAGAGGGCAGGTCAGACCTGAGGGTAGGGAGAGAGAGAGGGCAGGTCAGACCTGAGGGTAGGGAGAGAGAGGGCAGGTCAGACCTGAGGGTAGGGAGAGAGAGAGGGCAGGTCAGACCTGAGGGTAGAGCGAGAGAGAGGGCAGGTCAGACCTGAGGGTAGGGAGAGAGAGGGCAGGTCAGACCTGAGGGTAGGGAGAGATAGGGCAGGTCAGACCTGAGGGTAGAGCGAGAGAGAGGGCAGGTCAGACCTGAGGGTAGGGAGAGAGAGGGCAGGTCAGACCTGAGGGTAGGGAGAGAGAGGGCAGGTCAGACCTGAGGGTAGAGCGAGAGAGAGAGAGGGCAGGTCAGACCAGGAGATGATCAATTGTCACTAAACCCATAATGTTTGCCTGTTTATCTTCGCTTCATTTAGTCACATCTATTTATCATCCTACCAATCTATCTCGCCTCAAACCAATCAGCCAACAGACTAATCTATATCAATCAATCTGACCTTGAGAGACGAGGATAGCATACACGTTGAAGAGGTGGTCGCCGGGGGCCCGTGGCCCCTGGAACTTGTACGTGAAGCGGGCCACCGTCCAACTGGCCCCCCACATACCCAGCAGCGACAGCACCAGGCTCACCCACACGGGCCACCTGTCACCGAAACAACATTACCTACACTCAAAGTTCACTATCAGAAAGCTTAAAAGCGTTTTTGTGGCAACTAATCCGGTATTCGACGCCACCGGATTGGTGGCGTCGACCAGAATTATCTCCGGATGAGTTTATGCGAGTTTGTGGTTAAATATAATTATATCCGGTATCCATAATACTCCTGCTAGCCCCTTAACACTCACGTGAAAGGCGCGACCATGGTCCAGGAGTCAGGCAGAAGCTGAGGGCGAGCTGTCATGATCCTATAACTCTCCTGCCCCAGCGGGAAGGTGAAGTCCACCACTCTGCTCCTGTGTAGACTCATGCCAATGGGCCCCAGCGCAATGTCGGCCTCCTGGTGAGGGAGGAACACTGCTACAGATCTGGGATAGTTCTGAAATCATGGATTCATTTTAATGTTATGTATTTGGGTGAGCTAATGGAATTATCTGAGAGTACTTAGTCATTACGACTGTGTGGCGCTTGGAAGGGATATGGGGACAAGGAGCTGGGGTATGAGGACAAGGAGCTGGGGTATGAGGACAAGGAGCTGGGGTATGAGGACAAGGAGCTGGGGTATGAGGGCAAGGAGCTGAGGGTATGAGGATAAGGAGCTGGAGTATGAGGACAAGGAGCTGGAGTATGAGGACAAGGAGCTGGGGTATGAGGGCAAGGACCTGGGGTATGAGGACAAGGAGCTGGGGTATGAGGACAAGGAGCTGGGGTATGAGGACAAGGAGCTGGGGTATGAGGACAAGGAGCTGGGATATGAGGGCAAGGAGCTGGGGTATGAGGGGCAGGGAGCTGGGGTATGAGGATAAGGAGCTGGGGTATGAAGGCAAGGAGCTGGGGTATGAGAGCAAGCAGCTAGGGTATGAGGATAAGGAGCTGGGGTATGAGGACAAGGAACTGGGGTATGAGCACCTAGTGTTTGCGGGGGGGCTGAACTTCAACTCCTGGCCCCTACCTCTCTACCTTCCATCGAATACTGTACCCACCACCCTTCACCCTTTTGGACTCTGTGATGAAGTCTGCCTTCTGTACTCTACGCTCACTACAAAACTGTTTCCTCACCATCCTGTACAGCCGTTCCTTACCATCCTGTACAACCGTACTCACGTTCCTGCGCAACATGCCCATCATGCCGTTCCAAGAGCCGTCCTTCTGAACGATCCCGAAGTACCCGTCGCCTCTCACGAAGGTATACCTGTGTGGGGCGGGAGGCGTTAGGGTATACCTGTGGTGATGGGGGAGAGGGGGGGGTTAAAGGTATACCTGTGGTCATGGGGGGGGGGGGAAAGGGGGCTTAATTACTTATATTTACCTGTATTTACCATCTAACAGATAATACCCATATGTGATTTTTAAACACTGAAAATAATTCATTACTTCCTAACAGACAAATTCCCCCATTACCCTCGATCACGTTACCTTTAAACAAACCAAGCTAGACAACAACTCTGGTATTTTATCACTAACAGCCTCATTCTTAGGGGGGGGGGAGATGGGGGTGAAGGCCCCCCCTAACCATCAACCACCCCCCCCCCCCTCACCACTACCTCCCCCTCACTCATTCTCCCTGTAATGCTATCGAACAACTTATCAAAATCTGATTACCACCACATGCAAATTGCATTAGCCATAATATTCTGCCTTTATATCGAATCTCCTCGGTGGCTATCTAATGTGTGGATAGCCAATATTCTCCTCTTCACGCTCAAGAGAACATTGGTATAGCATATATATATCATGATACTGCTGTTCTCAGTTTCTCTTCACTGTGTAGCCTAATATGGCCGCGTATGCTGAAGGAACAAATGATGTAACTTCATTAAAAATGCTCAAGATACGTTTACCGACGTTTTTTCAATACTATATCAACGTTATCCCTGGCAAATCTAGGTAAACGTTATTGATCGGCGTTGATGGAACGTTAAATAAACGTTATTCGTTTGGCTAGCTTTATCCAATCTTTCAAATATTTGAAGTTTATCTTGTTGTTCATATCTATGGATATATCCACTATGGCTATATTTTCCTATATATTACACTAAACCATAAGAGTTAATGTTATATTTTCCTCGTCAACTACGACATTCATTACTGATAATGGTTGAGAGACGAGACCAAGGAGCCGAAGCTCAACCTCCACAAACACAACTAGGTGAATACTTATCGATTGTCAAACAGTATCAATGGATCCTGTTCCCATTTCTGTGTTATTATTCCTCCTCACTTTATCCTACCTTCTTTCTTCTGCTTTCTTTAGTCACTTCTTTCCTTTTATGTCTTGCAGTTCTTTCCCAAGTAAGTCAAATGCTCCTGTACACATATTTTGTAGAAGAGTGATTCATTATTTTACAAACACTAGGCAAAACTGGAAATTAATTTTGTTAATAAAGACATTATAATAACAAGTGCATAGAAAAGGTCGAGTCATTCGTATGTTTTTTTACATGGTAGGTCGACCGGCTTGAATTTTCACAGAAAATTATACATTATTTCATTCGACTTCCCTCTAGCATGGAAGATAGGCTTATTTACCAGTTCCTATTTGCGACCAATCGACTTACTGGAAGTTAAAGGCTGCGACTACGAAACCAATTGACTAAGTTGAAGATTGTAAGGAAGTTGATGATTATAACTATAATACTAATCGACTCACTGGAAGTTTAAGGCCGTTGCAGCGAGATCGAGGAGCTTCTTCGAAGGACCAGTGACGCGTGGAACACCCTTTCTTTCCCGCCAATTTACCTTCGTGTACGGCAGCCATTCCTCAACCGCCACCCGTAGCCTTGGCGCCCGCGGGAACCTGTGGGGGAAAGAGGGAGGGGATGGGGGGTGGTACCGGAGGTTAATTAGTCATATGAGGGGGGGGGGGAAGGGGTCATGTGGGGGGTCCACAATACTAGGGGTCATGTGGGGTTCTATAAAGATGGGGTGTCATGTGGTGGTTACAGCCCCGCTCCTGTGCCAGGTAAGTCCACAACGGACTTACCATAGCCCATGCTACTTGGAACCTTTTGTTCCAAGTAGCGAATCTTAAACAACAACAACAAACGGTGGTTACAGCATTGGGGTCACGTGGGGAGGTCAGTTAAAGCCATGGGGGTAGGTGTAACTGCCCTCGGAGTCATGACCTAGGGTCACACGGGGTCAAATGTGAAATTTTGTAGTAATGGTTGTGAATTAAAAGATCTAATACCTAAAGGATGTAGCTTATAATTGTTGTGAGAAATTTAAGTGATGTAAAAGCTGCAGGTATTGTCATAAGTGTTGTTTTTGCTACAGATATTGTAAGTGTTGTAGGTGATACAAGTGTTGTGAGCGCTGCAAAGTCATACAGCATAGTTAATATTGTTAGTTACGATATCCTCAATTTCATAGCCTATACTAATCTTTCTTATAATATTTGTTTTAATATTATGTTATTATTATAATTATTCTTGTTTTTTAGTCCCAAGACTGCCACGTTCCTCATTAATAATTTCCGTAGGTTTTATTTTACCTTGCTAGCCTAACCTGCAAGTTTTTGGGGGTTCCAGGGGCCAGATTCACGAAGCAGTTACACAAGTACTTACGAATGTGTACATCTTTCCTCGATCTTTGACGCCTTTGGTTACATTTATTAAACAGTTTACAAGCTTGAAAACTTCCCAATCAACTGTTGTTATTGTTATAAACAGCCTCCTGGTGCTTCGGAGCTCATTAACTGTTTAATAAGTGTAAACAAAGCCGCCAAAGATTGAGAAAAGGTGTACAGGTTCGTAAGTGCTTGCGTAACTCCTTCGTCAGGTTCCTAGCTAGTATAGTTTCCGTTCGTATTTGACCTTACTGACCTGAACTTGAAGATGTTGCCGTTCTTTAATGCTCTGGCAGTTCCATCCCTCGCCTCCTGCCACCACCACGACTCTCCCCTCCCACGTCGACCACCACCTTATAAGAAAAAACAAAAAGAGAAAAAGTCATTGCTGTCATCACTTACGTTATCTTAAATATATCCAGTGGGATAGCAGATAATGTGGGAACAGTGACAAGAAAAGAAATTACAACCGTTTTATCAAGAGGAATTAGATTGTAAACTTGAAGCAAATGCCAATGGATGCAAGAACTATATCACTAAGATACATCACATACATAAACCCTCAAGCAAACACCACGAAGACACCAACAGATCATGCATACAGGCACGATATAGAGCTGCAACAATAATGTGCAAAATTACTGATCATGGGGAACCTAAATCATAGGAAGATCAATTGGGAATCGAGAAATATTGCGGGAAAAATAATCATTGAAAGTTATGGTAAGGAAAACGGAAGGATAAACTGGAAATATCCGCTCCAAACATGCAATGTTATGAACTACTTTAGTGATTATTTAATTGCCCCTAATTAATTGTAAGCTTTCCTCCGCTAATGTTTGCCCTCGACAAATTGCACGCTTAGTTGAATTAGTTCCTTTATGGAGCCCACATCCGTCCTGCGGGCGGTGGTGAAAAGGTTTCAGAATTATAGATTCAGGAACTAGACCCCAATGACTTTCAAGAAACGTAATTTTATTAATGTTACTTAGTTACATTCTATTTGTAAATGTATATCGTGCACTCAACCATCTATTGGACGGAGGACGGGCAAGAGTCACACACTGAGTACAGGAAGGGCATATGTTCTCCAGTACCTCTACAGTGGGGGTACATGGAACGGTTCCTTAAAGTTCGCTTTCTGATTGTCAAAACCGTATACATCGTTAGGTTTGGAGGTATTGGCTTAGGACTGGCTACGTTAGTCTCGTTGAATTAGGTTAGTTTAAGATGGGTAGGGTTAGGTAGGCTTTATAATCCACTGGCGAACTTTCTTGAATACGGTGTACCCCTTTCCCACTCACATTAAACGAATCTAGAACACGTGTTCAAGATTCCACGGGGTCTATTAAAAGAATGCCTGAATGGCCCCCAAGCCACTAATCACTAAAAAACTGTATGACCCAACCAGGGTTCGAACTTGCATTACTACACATCCACACAGAAATCACAATAGCATGATACATCAAATGAACAAATCCAAATGAAAAAATAATACAATGAACATCAAGATTTGTTCATTGCATTACCACGTCTCACCCCTAGGCATACATAAGACTATAACCACTCCACCACCTTTTTTTCCACCGTCGATTATTTTGCTTATCAGGCAAGGCAACCGCTTGTACCATACCAAGTACTATAACTGCTGATCAAGAGGTTATGGCTCAATGTACACCTGGGGCTCAGGCCTGGTACTGTAAGTTCGAACCCTAGTTGGGTTATAAGGGAATTTATTTTCATATATAAAACGGGAGGCTAAGCAACTAGTTAGGATGGAAATTTAATAATAATTTAATTCACTGTGTCGAGGGACAGGAAGCTATTGTGTATTTATACACGTTTGGCATTTATCTAGGATTTATCTTTAGCTTTTATCGAGCTAGTTGCTCTAGGGTGAGTTCCCTATTAGCTGTGTCAAAAGCAGCTTGGAGGTTAAGAGAGGCTACGTGTTTGGTTCATGTCTGGTGAAGTACTCATGAAGTTCCTGTCTGATGAAGTATTTTGGGGCAGATTCGATTTGCAAGCAATGCTTGCATACTGTTCTAGCAGCATGTCAGCATAAGCTGTTGGGGAATGATGAGCAAGATGAGGGGCATTACGTTTGGAGAATTTTGGAGCATAAATTTAGGCCCTCATTTGGGCTGAGGATGTTGCATGATTGATGTCCTGTGAGAATTGTTCCCACTATTGACTACGTACACGTTCTGTCAGTTCCCTGACAGCGGGGTGGTACCCCCGTCGTCGGTGTTGACATACCATTATCAGTGTAGAGGGACTCCTGCTGGTGTGCTGCTGGTACTGGACCTGCCGCCATCCCCAGCGGGGTCGGCCCTTCACCCACCACCACCCCCGCCCACCACAGCGCCGCGGCCTCAACAGTATCTGCAACAACACAATTTTTATACCACACAGAAATCACAATAGTGTGATATATCAAATGAATATCAAATCCGTGTGAGGGCAGTAGCACTCACGGTTGCAATTATTTTGTCATGTCGTGGCGCAGTCGACTAAGGCGCGTCTAGGATCATCACGGGCGTAGATTCGAACCCTCATCACGGCCCTTGTGGCTTTGTTTACACTTTTATAACTCCCGTAAGAAGTTACAGGAAGCCTATAACTTTGGGTTATCGAAGTCCCCCCTTGACACATTACAGACCTTTCATAGTTCGCATCCACAACACGGTGAAGATAAAAAATTAGCTATAAGTTCTTCTAATACTCCCATCTCACAGGATGGTTAGTTATACATGGAATCAGGAGGGTAGCAGCACATTGCTGTGTTTACCTAAGCTTGTTAATAGCAAACAAAAAATGCACCTATAACAATTGCGTAACTTCCTGTTACCTATTTTATTGCTAGGTAATCAGAGGTATCCCGTGTAAGGAAACGTGCCCAATCATTTCTGTCCTGCGAGGGGATTAAACCCCGCATACCTCGCTATTCAAGCTGTCCTCTTACAAAGAACGTCGCATATCGCTCGCATGCGTTAGTTAGTTTATCAAATCGTAATAAACATAATTTATTATGCACCCCATACCCATCCTGTGGGCGGTAGCGGAAAGGGTAACAGAGGCACATAATGGGCTCAGGGACTGTGCGTTGCATAAAGCCAAAAATTGGTCGCAGTTACAGCCCCGCTCCTGTGCCAGGTAAGTCCACTACGGGCTCACCATAGTCCGTGCTGTTTGGAACTTTTCGTTCAGAGTAGCTGAATCTAAAACAACAACAACAGCCAAAAATGATCGTACTAGAAAATGGAAGAGGCTCGCGAAAGTAACGTTCCGTCCCGTGTTATGTTTTGGGTTCTCTGGTTCAAGTACGTTTATTGAGACAATAAAATACATCTCAAATGGATAGAGTAGCTTAGGCTATTTCTACCCTCCTCTACTTCAAGTCCTTCAAGAGGGGCACAAATCCAGTGAGTACAAATCCATAAATCACATTACAAGAATCACATTTTACATTATAGTATACACAGCATGTACATTATAGTATACACAGCATGTACATTATAGTATACACAGCATGTAAGTGTTATACTCTTGTGGCAAAAATCCTTGCAGCTCCTAAGTATACTATCATACCATTATCACACATCCAAACAATTTGACGTAATACACTACTTATTTCCTTATTTCTATAGTTATCAATAAGTTGATACTAATACGTACTGATTTAAGGTGTAGGCGTGCGGTATACTACATAATTTACATTCCTTATGGGTTCTCTGGTAGGTTAGGAGAGGACATTTTAGATTGCCCGTTTTCGTGACCATGAGAAGCCTTAGGAGGACGGACTGCATTATTAGTCTATGGTGTAGTCCACTGTGCTACCTTACCTTGAGGTGTTTCCGGGGCTTAGCGTCCCCGCGGCCCGGTCGTCGACCAGGCCTCCTGGTTGCTGGACTGATCAACCAGGCTGTTGGACGCGGCTGCTCGCAGCCTGACGTATGAGTCACAGCCTGGTTGATCAGAGTACAGTAGCTTGCTAAGTTATTTCACAAAAAGCTCTCGTAATTGCTGCTGCCTTGTTTAACAATAGAACTGTTATTATTTTCAATCATATTTAATGATTGAATATTTTCATACCATCATCATTATTAATATTCAATATTATCATATTATCAGCAGATTCTGATATTATATACTTGGGCATTATTAAGGCCTTTGAAAACTGCACGGTAGATTGATAAGGCACCCAATATAAGAGACCTCATTAACTGTATCAGGACGTATTTATTTATATATTTTATGTAATATATATAATACAGTACATATAATATCGGTGTTCTTACATTCTTGCAAAGCCACTAATACGCATAGCGTTTCGGCCAGGTATATCATATAATAATAATAATTAGTTTTTATTTACAAAAAGGTACAATGGGTTGGGTGAGATTACATATAAGATTGGTATTCTTACATTCCCTTAAAGTCAATAACACGCATAGCGTTTCGGGCAGGTCCTAACCTAATATATCAGATAAGATGAAAAGGTACAATGTAGCATGGTTTTATATCAACAAATAACTACAATGTAAGTTGACTGAGGTGATTACACTGGTAAGGATATATGTCTTAATTACTAATACTTGGGGAAGTGGGTAGTACAAGATTCAGTGTGAGTATGAAGGACATGGTAGGAAACTATGAGGATGAAATAAGGTACTTTTTGGTTCCTGGGGCCAGATTCACGAAAGCACTTGCGCAAACACTTACGAACCTGAACATCTTTTTTCAATCTTTGGCGGCTTTAATTGTTTCCAATTATTAAACAGTTAATGAGCTCCGAAGCACCAGGAGGCTGTTTATAACAATAATAACAGTTGAATGGGAAGTTTTCATGCTTGTAAACTGTTTAATAAATGTAACCAAAGCCGTCAAAGATTGAGGAAAGATGTACACGTTCGTAAGTGCTTACGTAAGTGTTTTCGTGAATCTCGCCCCAGGAGATGGGTTGGACAATTGTTTAATTCATCAGGGGAGTGAATTCCAATGACTGGGCCCTTTTATTTGCATAAAGTGTTTGCACAGATTTAGTCTGACTCTGGGGATATCAAAGAGATATCACACAAGGAACACAGAATCAACGTAACTCGGATAACATAAGAATAGGGAACAGCGGCATGTATGTGTTCTGGAACTCTACCCTGAGATCCCCTGCAGGTGTTCATTTTATATATAGATTATATAGATACAATAGTAAAAATAACACTAAGGAGGTCAATAAACCCTGGCGCAAATTTAAAAATGCAACAGGAAAAATACATAAGACTCAAAATGGACTAAGAATTGGCAGATGCAATTCAATGCTGACAATTATAGTATTATATAAGCCAAGAAAAATAAATAATTCAATAATTAAGCCGTTTTGAGGGGAGATGAAACCAATGTCTAACCACGAGGAAAATGAATCAGGAAATTCCTCGAGTACTTTCGTATTAATCAATACATCTTCAGAAGGATGAATATTACGTCAGTGGTGGATATATAGGCAGGAATGAGGTCAGCTGAGGTGAAAACCCATATCTTGGGTTCACAAACTGAAATTTACACTATAGTACGACATAGAATGATCATCAAGGCAAATGGAGGGGGGGCGGGACCTTAGACAAGCCGCCGGATTCCTGTCCTTGTCGAGGACACTAGTGTTAGTGGTCCTCGGGTAAATTCAGGTAAATAAATTAAAAGAGACTGGGATAAAATAAAGAAATGAATAAAAATGTTAAATGGAGGATACAAATAGCCTACTAAAATTATAAACTTAAGTTAGAACATGAAACGATGAATTTCAGTTAGATATATTTAGATTTAGAAAACAGACTAACACTGGTTTTGAAATAGGGTTGCAAATCAATGAAACATCAAGTTACCAACTAACATATTAAACGCATATTTAACTGCATTATACCTTGAAATAATCCTCAAATTATGCTACAATTTACCTGTTGATAACCCTCAAATTTCACTTTAATGTACCTACTAATCTTTGTCAAACTTTCTTACAACGTACCTCTTAACATTTTTATTCAATTTTTCTAGAAATTACCTACTTAAAATTATCTGATTAAGGACCTGCCCGGAACGCTATGCGTGCTAATGGCTTTACAAAAAACTTCAATGCTATGTACTCTCATAAACCCAATGTACCTTCTTGTATATATAATATATATATATATATATATATATATATATATATATATATATATATATATATATATATATATATATATAGAAGGGGTACCACCTCTGGTGCAAGTGTAGGGACCCATAGCCTCGGAGAAGAAAATAAAGAGTACTCAGAGAAGACCTTGTGGATCCTCACTGAACACTTTGATATTTTCTTCTCCTACCACCCCTATTCTTTTGGTAAGTGTGTATATTTATCTAACTTTATTTGAAAATGTCATTACACAAAAAAAGTTACAATATTGATTACATGCAGGGTACAAGGCTGCTTGTCACAAGTTGAACAGCTCCTCCAGCTCCTCAGATGGCGGGCAGGAACCATGGATGCAGTGAGCATTTCCTCTCTGGATTGCCACACTAAGGCGCTGAAAAAGAAAACTGGCAGCTCTAGGGTCTCTAGTTGTTTCGATTAACTTAAACCCCAACTCCTTCAAAAAGCTAGCAGCACTTTTACCCCAGGCACCAAGTGTCTCTGAGGCAATGGGGACAAAATTGTAGTGGTGCTCAAGGTCTCTGTATTTACGTGACTTGGCCGCTTCCCGGTGATTGGCAGCTCCTCCTGCTTGTGTAGCACTGAAGTCAACATAGGTGTTGGCTAAAGTTGAAACGCATGTGTAGTCCCACACCAACTGTCTACCATTCTTCCAGGGGTTCACCGTGATCCCGTCTGGGCGACCGACAGGCTCATCAGAGTTGCGGGACATTAGGTAACGGGACAATATATATATATATATATATATATATATATATATATATATATATATATATATATATATATATATATATATATATATATATATATAAATATATATATTCCCCTAAACGAATATACATCCGTTTAGGGGGACCTTTGACAAGCTGCTAGCTTCCTGTTCTCGTCGATGCCACTAGAGAGAGAGAGATATGTAGTGGCCCTCGGGTAAATTCAGGTAATATTCGCAGTTGGAAGGCTAAGAGGCCGTGAGACAAATGTATACTTACAGAGAAGCCACATGACCTTGTATGTGTAGAGGAGGAATGTTGACATAACACCCGGCCGCCTGTCGTGTCCATACTAGGCTGTCTGAAGTGTTCCACCTAGGAGGTGCCTGTCGTGTCCATACTAGGCTGTCTGAAGTGTTCCACCTAGGAGGCGCCTTCCACGTCCATACTAGGCTGTCTGAAGTGTGCCACCTAGGAGGCGCCTTCCGTGTACATACTAGGCTGTCTGAAGTGTTCCACCTAGGAAGCGCCTTCTCTGTCCATACTAGGCTGTCTGAAGTGTTCCACCTAGGAGGCGCCTTCCGTGTACATACTAGGCTGTCTGAAGTGTTCCACCTAGGAAGCGCCTTCTCTGTCCATACTAGGCTGTCTGAAGTGTTCCACCTAGGAGGCGCCTTCCATGTCCATACTAGGCTGTCTGAAGTGTTCCACCTAGGAGGCGCCTTCCATGTCCATACTAGGCTGTCTGAAGTGTTCCACCTAGGAGGCGCCTTCTATGTCCATACTAGGCTGTCTGAAGTGTTCCACCTAGGAGGCGCCTTCTATGTCCATACTAGGCTGTCTGAAGTGTTCCACCTAGGAGGCGCCTTCCGTGTACATACTAGGCTGTCTGAAGTGTTCCACCTAGGAGGCACCTTCCGTGTACATACTAGGCTGTCTGAAGTGTTCCACCTAGGAGGTGCCTTCCATGTCCATACTAGGCTGTCTGAAGTGTTCCACCTAGGAGGCGCCTTCCGTGTACATACTAGGCTGTCTGAAGTGTTCCACCTAGGAGGTGCCTTCCATGTCCATACTAGGCTGTCTGAGGTTCATACTAGCCTGTCTGAGGTGTCCCACCTATGCACCTTCGATATCTATACTAGGCTGGCTGAAATGTCCCACTTAGGTGCTGTCCATGTCCGTACGCTGATCACCGTGTCCACATAAACTGATAAATGGTAAAGGTAGTGAGGTAAGACAGTTAGGCTGCTTCAGATGTCCTCTGTTGGCGAGAGAGCGGACGCTACTACTGGTCACTTGCACAGATGAACCGTGATTCTCAGCCCCCCACTTCCCCCTCCCCATCTACACACGCAGGACCGTAAGCCATTTTTAGTTTCCCATTATTGTGGCTCCCCTTAAGCGATCGGTTAATCTTGACCTTTCTGAGGATCAAGAGAATGAAGCAGAAGGCCTATTGGCCTATACGAGGCAACTCCTATTTATATGCACCCCTATCTCATTCATCTATATGTCTAACCTACGCTTGAAATAATCAAGTGATGCTACTTCTATTATGTTAGACGGTAATGGGTTCTACAAATCAACAACCCTGTTACCGAACCAGTATTTACCCAGGTCTTTCCTAAATCTAAACGTATCCAATTTTATCCACCCAATTAAGGAAGGGAACTATCAGGTGGAAAGCGCCAAGCCAATACGACTATATAGCACTGGGAAGGGATCAGGATAAGGATTTGGGATAGGACGGGGGGAAGGAATGGTGCCCAACAACTTGGACGGTCGGGGATTGAACGCTAATCTGCATGAAGCTTTTTTTAGGCCTTCTGCAGTTACGCCCTTTAGGCCTTCTGCAGTTACCTTCATTCTAATGTTCTTAATTTATACCCAGTTTCGTGTTCTATTTTGTGTTGATATTTTTAATATCTTATTAATATCCCATGCACGCTCTTAACCCACTCGAATATCCAGCACATAGGTTCGAATCCTCTTTACGGCTCCTGTGGATTTTTTCATTAATATGTCACGATAATGTGATTTCTCTGTATATTATTATTATTATTATTGTTAATGGTATTATCACTATTCTCAGTATTAATAACAATAAATGTTATCGTGTTTTTATGTCAAGACGATTTATGTAAAGTAATTATGTAAAATCTATCGAAACTCATTTTCTTCCACTGTCAACCTTAACTCTTAAAATATATGGTTAAGTAAAGTCATTAATTACACCAATCAATACTGCTCCAGTTTTGTTTCCAAGACCTGTTGACATTCATTCACCACGAAAACAAAACAAAACACAAATAGCTTTTCACGCTATTATATATCAGTCATTATTATGTCGCATATTAAATGGTCGATGGAGTGCTGTAATTTTTAAGGCATGTTAATTAGTTTCTGTGATAAGCGCGTTAAGTCGAGTTAACCCCATTCGCCACACGGCAAGGTAATGAGACAGCCTAATGTAACGTTGAATCATCGTTAATTCAACGCTGAATTAACGATTAAATGGACGTTGAATCAACGGCAATTCAACGTTGAATCAGCGTTAATTCAACGTAGAATCAACGTTAATTCAACGTAGAATCCATGTTAATACAACGTCGAATCAACTTTATTTCAACGTTGAATCAACGTTAAATCAATGTTTATTTAACGTTGATTCAACTGTGAATCACAATAATTAACATTCTACAGTTAATTATTCTTTTAGTTTACCGTGAACAAAGATAACATTTGGAAAAATCCTCTTCCAATTAAACCAAGAAGCAAAACACAAATAGTCAGAGGGGCAGAAGCCCTAAACAAGAAAATAATCAACACAGAATATGTAGTCATATTCAGAGTCATATAAATTTCATACACCACTGATCCTTATAGAACAACTTTAGGGGTTTCGTGTATAAATAAAGAGTTCAGTAGCGCCTTTGGTTTTATTTCCCGCGTTTATGGTTTGTATTCCAACGTGGATAGTGTGCACAGCTGTGTCGGTTTCTGATTGGCTGCTGAATGAAGATTGTGTTTCTTAGTTTCAGTGGGAACTGTATATATTATCTTTATTGGTTTTATTTTAAAGGTTTTGAATATTAATTTATATGTGTAAGATTATACGAATGTACATTCGTTGAAACAAATTAATTATCATGCTTTTAGTTATCTGATTGTCCCCACGTATTTGTCTGATATGAACGCATTAACAAATCCCTTTGCAAATGTGGATCTTGAAACAGATCGCATTCTGTCACTTAATGACTAGTGTTTCAATTTGAAAGTTATAATAGACAAATATTAACTCTGCATTAAATATATTAAAATAAAATAAAAGAAGTTAATATATATTAACTTTCAACTGAAACTTGACAGCATCAGCCGGTAATGGCAGACGACACCAGTCCCGAAGTCTGGTACGCGAACGTCATGTATCACATTCCATTAGGAATATAATTCTCGTTGTCGAAGGCATGAAGAACTTGAACTTGGCTATGTATATACATACCTTAGGCTTGTATGGAGCCCCCACCCTCTTCCCAAGGTTGAATTACTGACTTTCCCCAGAATGTAACCCCTACATCAGTTCCCAACTCACAGATAGGTACCTATGTACTGTTAGGTGAACAAAGGCATTAAAGGTGAAAGGAAACGTGTCTAACCATGCCTGTCTAATAAGGGATCAAACCCGGGATCCCCGAGTGTAATTCGGCAGAACAAGAGCGCTTGGGCAACGTTTCCATCTATCTGATGTGTCTATTCAGCTAGCAGTGATTAGGTTACCTGGAGATAATTGTATACCTGTTAAATAATAGGTTAGCTGGGAAAGGCTAATAGTAGTTGACCTAGCCCACCGGGTACTTCGATAAGCTTCAGTATACAAGCTTCTTGTCTCCAACGATAGGAAAGCAAATGGTTTCTCATTTATTGTCGGGACTAAACAATTATCGAGGTTTCCCATGAACAACCTTGCCTAGGGTGCAACCCTTAGCAGGAGAAGCTTTCTAATTAGTAGGGTAATAATCACGTATCATCAGCTACCAACTGAAGCCGTAGAGGGTTCAGCTGGTACAGTTCTACATTAAAACTAAACCACACTCCAGAAGATGAGGAGACGTAGGGTTCTGTCGTCTTCTTTAAATGTCGTCTTTACATTATAGTAAAGCCTCTAGCACGCATAGCATTTCGGACAGGGCTTTAATCCTAATTTTCCCCCTGAATACGACCCGTCAAATCATTTAACGATACCCATTCACTGCTGGGGTGAACAGAGACAACAATTAAGGACTTAATGCGCCTAGTCAATCCTCCCCGGCTAGGATACACAGTACATAGGATAGGCTAGGAAAACAGAAGAGTAAGGGGAGACATGATAACCACCTACAAAATTCTCAGGGGAATTGACAGGGTGGACAAAGACAAACTATTCAGTACGGGTGGGACACGAACAAGGGGACACAGGTGGAAACTTAGTACCCAGATGAGCCACAGAGACGTTAGAAAGAATTTTTTCAGTGTCAGAGTAGTTAATAAATGGAATGCACTAGGAAGTGATGTGGTGGAGGCTGACTCCATACACAGTTTCAAATGTAGGTATGATAGAGCCCAGTAGGCTCAGGAATCTGTACACCAGTTGATTGACAGTTGAGAGGCGGGACCAAAGAGCCAAAGCTCAACCCCCGCAAGCACAATTAGGTGAGTACAATTAGGTGAGTACAGTATGAACCCCGCTCGACCCAGGAAGCGCGGGGCGAATTATTATAATTAATAATTATTATATGTTGTCACTTGTTACCCTTTAATCATATTATATGTAACCGTCTGTGTTATGTACACCTATACATATAATATGTTATGTACAAGTACGTATTGTATATACACCTAAACATACATACGTAACATATATACTTAACATATACATTTGCCCGAACAGAATGATTAGCTATGCGTGCTAGTGACTGTATAAGAATGTAATAATCCTGTATATATAACAAAAAATAATAAATAAGTACATGTTACACGCACAAGTTACAGTTTTGTATTATATACACGTGTAATAGATTTTTCCAGAATTAGAGAAACGTTAAATGCTAAAGGCACGACGGATGGTGACGGCGGCGGTGTTGTGTTTTGGTTGGTCAGCTGAGCAGGCTGGCTGGTGTGACGCCGACGGCCACTTTCCGTGTCCTCCTGCTGCTCCTGCTGTCTTGCTCCTCCGTCAGATATACAGCTGCTGATGTGACCGTCTTGAAGTCAGCAGGTAGCATGTGAAGTAGTGTTGGTCTGTTAGGGTAGTTTAGCCTACATATAGGCACTCGATAGGGCTGAAGGTTAGTGTAGTTTGGCCTATCACTGGGCACTTGCCAGGTGAATGATTAATGTAGTTTGGCCTACACATAGACACTCGATAGGTAGAAGGTTAGTGTAGTTTGGTCTGTCAATGGGCACATGATACATGATCATGATACATGAAGAGTTAAGTGTATCTTGGCCTGCCAGTAGGCATGCTGCGATTGGAAGGTTATCTGAATATTAGGTTATGTCGTTCTTTTCCAACTTATTAACTTAAAAATAGATATAATGTCCTGAAATTCTTGGAACCTAAGTTAACCTAGCCAACTCTATTGTATCCAGTAAGTCAAGAAAAACATTGTTAAATGATGAGAACTACTTGGAAAGGGGGGCAGAGTTCCTCGATACATCTCGAGCTTTATTACACGAATTGATGGTGATCCAAAATGGACTGAAATGTTACCACTTCCTTCATTTTCAGATTTGTGATATGGGTGTCTTATCAATTATAATTATTATCTATGTGGTTGTTTGGTACATGTGAATTTTATTAAAAAAAAATGCATTTTGAGAGCACTTTCATGGGTGTAGAGCCAAAGTATTATCTTGAATAATTGTTCATGTATCTGCACATCTTCAGAATGCATCGGCTGTGCAGGAAGGAAGTTCTGGTTGTGGTTGTGGTGGGGCTTAGTTGTTTGGTAGCTCAAGTGATACCAGATACTGACAAGAGTAAAGGTGCTGCCGGTACCAGTAGTAGCGGTGACGCAGACAAAAACAAGAATAAAGAGAATCTGAAGTCTGCCAAGTTACCTCCCTGTGCTGCCTGCAAGACCCTGGTGGAATCCTTCCAAAAGGTATGGATCAAGACAGTGATACACATGACTGTACTGTACTAAGAATATGGTGAGAATAGCAGGTTTTATTGCAGCAAAATCATCTGTAGAGTATACAAAATTTGGTTTGGAACTTTATTTTTTTTTGTGGTATTTTTTTGTTTATATACATTTCAGAGTTAAAGTTTGTGTAAAAAATTTTAGAGGCCTGTTAATTTATGCTGGTAAAATTATTGGTATTGTATGAACTTGGTTATCCAAAACCACTGATCAGAATATTTGGGTTATTTGTGTGCTAATAATTTCCTGCAAAACTGTGCCATATCCGGACAGAAATCAGGGATTTGACCAGATAAAGCAGACTGGCATAAAGTCAGAGTTAAGTCCGGATAATTTTCTGGCAAAATTTTTCCATATCCAGACAGAAATCTGGGTAACTTGAGAGCAGGTTACATAAATTTTTAAGAACTAAATTTGAAAATGTACAGTATCAAACAAAAAAAAAACTACAAGGTAAGCTGAAATTTCTATTTAAATTATGTTTGATTTGTAGTGTGAAAATTTGAGTTATGTTGGCTGTGGTACAAAAAAAAATTGAATATGGTAATTTTTTAATTTCCCTAGTAAGAATTCTGCTTATCCAGATGTCTGGCTTATCCAGTGAGGGGTCCTTCTAATATAGTCTGGATAAATGATGTTAGACAGTATCTTCCTTCTGCTGCAGGATGATGTTGAGTGTAGACCTTTGCTGTCTGGGAAAACTATTACATGTATGATATAAAGTATTGGCACACTTCAAGGCAATTACACAAATTTGACCTAGGTGTTACTCATGCCTTTGTGCTTCTTGGTCAAACATACAGTACATGGAAAACAAAATTCTGGTTGGGATTACTTGGACTGCTGATACCAATCATCTTAATCATTCATTAATCCAACTACAGTATTTGTATGGAACCAGGTACTCTCCACTATAGCCTTGACATACACAAAACTTTTAATTTATACAAATGTAAGTACAGTAATGTATCATGATTAAGGGAGGGGGGGGGGGGATGATAAAAAGTTCAAAGTCTAGAGGATGGCCTTGTAGTATACTAGTGAAGAGAGCATGTGGCTAGTACAAAAGTGTATACACAACTAGGGCCAGTCGATATTTCTTAAAAATGATATATACCCTCTACAATATAGTATTTTTCTGTACCAGTTTTTAATTTCAAATATGTAAAGGTTTTTAATTTTTGAATGAGGCCGGCACATAGGATTATAAATTATTTGTGTGTGTGTGTTCACGTATCGTAATTTTGTGTCCACACACATGCCGGCCTGATTTACGGCCCAACCACTTGGACTGGACAGTAGAGCAACGATCTCACTTCATGTGGGCCAGCATTCAATCCCCGACCGTCAAGGGGGTTGGGCACCATTCCTACCCTGTCTCATCCCAAATCTTTATCCTGACCTCTTCTAAGTGCTATATAGTCGTATGGGCTTGGTGCTTCCCCCCGATAGTTCCCTTCCCCCTAATAATTTTCTGTGGAACCAGTGCAGGCCAGTACTGTATATTCCACTGGAAGTTATAATAGCTTCCTTTGTTACTGTCATTCTGGGGAATTACTTAGTTTGAGCAGAAGTGTTGTATATTGCATGTACAGTAGTAATAGAGTAGTTATATTATTTGTTAATTTTTATTTTCATGTTTTATGGTACTCTCCAAAATCTGGATAAATGAGAGAAGCCTTCCTTCAACTGCATTCATACTGCTTTTTGAAGACTTGATGATAATTTTCAAATATGATGTTTAGTGATTTCCACTGGATTGGGCTTATTTAAGGAAGATTCCACTACACATTACTTACAATATCATAACTTAAGATTTAACAAATGCAAAAGGCCATGTTTTACCAAGGTTAAAAATTAAAAAAAATTGTAAGGGACATCTGAGAATTAATTATTTATATGATTTTTGTGTTTTTTTTCCGTATAGGGAATCGAGTCGACTGCTCGTGGGAAGTTTGAAGGCGGAGACTCTGCTTGGGAAGCAGAGAAAATGGTGTCTTATAAAAAGTCTGAAGTGCGACTGATAGAAATTCAAGAAAAAATGTGCAAGGATGTCGAGAGAGGTCAAAAACAGGTGAGTAAATGTCTGGGATGTTGTTTTGAGTACATAAAGCAATATGACCTAACGACAAACTTTGTGGTATAGAACATAAAAAGGAGTATGTAGTTTTTATTTATTTATTTATTTGTAATGATTGGCATCCAATGCTGAACAAAAAGGTTACGTTCCCGGAAAACCTTGTGTTTGGTGACATTGCATTTCACAAAGTTAAAAACCAATTATTTCCATATTTCAATTCATGTCATTAAACAACATTGCTTATCATCAATACCACTTGCACGTAAATTGCATTTGATGGGTTCTCAAGTTTTTAACAGCAATTAATTAACAAATAAAATGAGTACAATATACACCTGGAATGTACCTGAAGTGGGTTCTGAGAGTTCTTCTCTTGAAGCCAAAGTCTGGGGCCAGGTTTGTCTTGTGATGACAAGATGTAAAGGCTGTTGCTTGGTACAGCCCTCAGGCTCCCATATTCATTACACCTCATCTGGTCCTGCACGGTCCCACACGTTGATGAGTAACAGACATACAAGTGAGACCAGTCATGGAGTGTGTTATAAAATAGTTACACATCACTGTTGTCAACTCAAAAATCCAGGATTGATTGATTCCAGTCCCATTCCTAACTTTAAAATACTTCAATTTTTTTTTTTCCCAAAATTTTGGGGTATTCTCTTCACAAATGAATAATACAGTAGGTATATATTTTTCCATCTTTATACATAGTATATATTTTCTCTAAAGAGAGTTTTACAATTTGTCTATATACACATGCAATTTAGGTTTATGCAGGACATCTATAACGTCACTCTTATAGATGGCATTCATCAACACCTCAAACCTCGCATGCTGTACGTTTTGGTAACTTTAATTGTATGCATTCTTGGCTAGTGTGAAGCTGGTGCAGAGGCACACGAGGGACTGCTGGAAGATTGGTGGTTCCGGGAGCAAGAGAGACAGCCTGACCTACACACGTGGCTGTGTATCGATACCTTACGAGTGTGTTGTCCCGCCAATCATTATGGGCCGCGGTGCCTACCGTGCAAAGGGGGTATAGACAACCCTTGTAGTGGGAATGGCAAGTGTAAGGTACATTATTGTTGTTTGGTATTTTATTGTTACTGCAGAAAAAATGAATTTGTAGTTTACATGCAAACACTTAATAGCAAACTTGACTTTGGGAATAAGTGTATTGGGAATTGCTGGTTAATTATTTTTTATTGATCTACTGAACTGTATAATATATAAAATATAGGAACATCAAGTAATTAAAGCATAATTTTTTAAAATAAAAACATTATAAAAGCAGTTTTGATATGTTGTTTGGCTTGGTTTTAGGAATGATTCATTTCATTTGAATAATTCTTGTAAATGCTATAGCTAATAGTTGTAGTTGTAACAGTTGGAAGAGTTGTAGCTATGTAAAAGTGGAATGTCATAATTACCACAACTAGTGCTCACTTTTATGGGTTAGGAAGCACCAGACTGGAGAAAAAGTGTATTTATATACAGTATTGTGAATGTAGTGATCAGAAAGTGGCATTCATCTATTAATTTTAGCATCCATTCTCTAAGGCATCATATATAAACACTGAAAAGCAGCATCTCGCCCTTTCACAAGACCTGGGGCCAGATTCACGAGGCAGTTAAACAAGTACGTACAAACCTGTACATCTTTTCTCAATCATAGCAGCTTTGTTTACAATTAAATGGTTAATGAGCTCCGAAGCACCAAGAGGCTGTAACAATAACAAGAGTTGATTGGGAAGTTTTCATGCTTGTAAACTGTTTAATAAATGTAACCAAAGGCATCAAAGATTGAGGAAAGATGTACAGTACACGTTCGTAAGTACATGCGTAACTGATTTGTGAATCTGGCTCCCTGGTGTACAGTACCTCCTTTCAAATGGCTGCCCTCTATCCCTGTTCTTAACCATGTTGTATACATTGTTCACACTCGATTCCCCGTACTCCAACACTCGCTCACCAAATAAACCTATAAGCTTCCTTCGCTAAAGAGATGCAACCAGAGGGCTGCATGAAGATATAATATTACCTATCCTTATACTGTAAATAGATAAGCGATGGTTGTGTGCTGATAACTTGAAAAAAAAAATGAATTTGAGCAGTAAAAATAATCAAATAAAAAGCCATATGTAGTTTTAAAAAAATGGACTAAGAAATACAAATGCCATTGTGTAAAATATAAATACAAAGAAGTTGCAAGACTGAGGAGAATCATTCAAATTGGTTTGTTCATGTTGAACAAATAGATGATGATGACTAGAAAAGAAAATGTGTGTGAGTGAATTTGAAGGCAGCAGACACTTAACCCCTGCACTGTGCACCTATGTGACACTCCTGTGGTGCGCACCCAAAAAATTTATTAAAACAATTTTTTCTTCTTAATATTGCTAGAATAAATATATATAAAAAAAATCTGGTGGTTGTAAGCACCACTGATGAAACGACTCGTGTTGTGTGCAGTTTCAAAGTTAATTTCTATATAAAAATTATTTTGATTGCCTTTTATACGCCTCGCATATCTGCTTCAACATTCTTATTGCACAAACTTTAAGAAAGGTTTTAATATTTTTTGATTGGTACTAAATTCTGGTTGTCAGCTTGCTAAGGGATCCATGCTTAAAATACTGTATTTAACTTGTAACATATTTGATAAGATTGGACAGTCACTGGAGACCCTTGGCATCCCACTCAAAAAAGGCCCAACAGTGCAATTTTTGGGTTGCATCCCAGAGGTTTATGAACCATTTCCATCGGCGAAGACTCGAAGCCTTGCGTAACTTCTACACAAACAAGTCTATCTTTGACTATTGTGAGGAATTTTAAGTGTGGTCTCCTTATTGGAACACAACACAAGGTTATCACTATAACTGGCTCTCTACCTATTGGTTCAGTGCTATTATCATCATGATGTTCATTATCCTCTTGCCTCAAGTGATGCATCATTCAATACCCCCCGCGAGTTGACCCAAATATAAGCCTAGAATTTGACCTTAGTAGTTTATAAGCATGACTAAAACACACTTTTATTTTATTTTGAACAGACTGTAGGCTACAAGCTGTCATATATTCAATAATTTAGTTAAAAAACACACTTAAGGGTGTAATATTGAATAACTATTTTGTACTAATCATTGCCTTGGCCTAAACATTTTATCATAAAATAACATTTACAGGGTGCAGGAACAAGGAAAGGCAGCGGAGATTGTTCTTGCAATCCAGGTTACAAGGGCGACATGTGTGACTCGTGTAGTTACGGCTACTATGAGGCGTACAAAGATGACACGAAACTCCTGTGTGAAGAGTGCCACAAGTCCTGTAATGGCCCATGCAGTGGAGTAAGTGGCATAATGTTTCAGTATCCATGTCTTGCATTAATGAAATGTTCAGTTTTCAAACTATGCCAGAAACAAAACATATAATCGAGGGTGCGTACTTATTTGTTGCCAAAATATAACACGGTTACTCTTTTTAGAAGGAATTTGGTCTTATTGTGTGGGAATACTGCAGTGGATTGCAAATATTTTCGTTATTTATATACAAGAGTTCTAACATTCTCGTACAGTCACTAGCATGCATAGTGTTTCGGGCAAGTCCTTAATCCTATGTTCCCTGAAATATGCCAAATCATTTAACAACCAGGTACCCATTTTACTGTTGGGTAAACAGAGACCACAGTTAAGGATTTATGCTCGGTAAATCCTCCCCGACCAGGATATGAACCCAGGCCAAAGAGCTCGCGAAATGCCTGGTGAGTATCATACTACTACTACACCACGCAACCCGTTCTCGCACTTTCTTAGTCAATAATGACTTATTAAATATGTGCATATGTGACATACTAAACATACTAGTTTACCTTTAAAAGCTTCATAGAAAACACCGACCTTACCTAACCTTCTTAGTATGTTAAGATAAGCATCTTATTGCTTTGTAATTACAATTATTACTTAACCTATACCTATAATAGGTTAAGTAATAATTGTAATTACGAAGTAATTACAATTATATTATTACAATTATTTATACAATTATATAATTGTAATTATAACCTATACCTATAATAGGTTAAGTAATAATTGTAATTACGAAGCAATAAGATGCTTATCTTAACATACTAAGAAGGTTAGGTAAGGTCGGTGTTTTCTATGAAGCTTTTCAAGGTAAACTAGTATGTTTAATATGTCACATATGCACGTATTTAATAAGTCAATATTGACTATACGAAAGTGCGAGAACGGGTTGCACCACGGATACTGCTATGAATCCCATCTGAAACTGCGGATCTGGATATAAAGCAATTGTGTGTAGTCTTCTGTGTGTGAGGCTTAACCTGAAAAGTTATGGCATGTTCATATTTAATACATTTTCAACTTGGTTGGATTTGTTAAGTGTATGGGTGTTGATTTTGTGTTGAAATTAGTGTAATAAATATGTGATTTGCAATTACTGTCAATAAGTTTAGGTTGTTTACTAATAGATTTGCAAACAAATTTATATTTTTTTTTGGCTTGGAAATTGTTATTACACTAGAGTACAGTGACCATTACCTGTGCCTGCTAAGCTCTCATCTAGTTTATTATCTACTTATCCTAGAGTAAGTGTGCTTTGGCTAGATATCTGTGAGGTAAAAAACAAACTTCAGAAAGTTTGTGAAAGTCTGTGAAGAAAACAAACTTCGCCACAATGAATAATTTGAGTTGATGAAAAAGATTAATAGAAAATGCAATGACAAACTAGTTTATAATCTTAGGTGAAAGTTATAGTGAAGGTGTGTGTATTTTGGGTTTCTCACATTGTTTCTAATTCTTATTTTGATAGTGCTGTATGAAATTTTTTTATGGTATGGATTCGGAGAAGATTAGCTTAATAAAAAAATATCCCTACACTTGAGAATGGTCCAGGACAGACCGAAACGTTGTCGTCCCTTCACTTTCTAGTGTGTGGTTTGGTCAGCATATTTCAGCCACTTTGTTGTGACTTGAGTTCCTTCCATTTCAGCCTGGTCAGAAATCTTGTGTGGCATGCAAGGCAGGATGGCTTATGGACACGGAGAAAGGTTGTTTGGACGTCAATGAGTGTGCCTTCAACAAATCACCTTGCAAAAGAAGCCAGTTTTGTGTGAACAATGAAGGAACATACACCTGCTTAGGTTAGTCCATAAAAAGTTCAATTACGTTGGTGCATCCCTCTGAATAAAATTTTGGTGCAGATTTACAATTTCTTTTGTCTTCTGTATGGGCTCGGTAATCTGAATTCAGGTAACCCAAGTGAATTTGCATTCATTGTTTTTGAGTAAATGGTGGAAGTAACCACATAACTGAATTTGTTAATTTTTGGACAATGGTCTTTGATATATTTTCCTATTAGTGCTGGTAATATTCGCTCCATAGTTTTCTTCAAATTATTAATAATTTGAACCTTGTTTAAACTTGTATAAAGTATTGATTTTTCAGCTTTTAAGAATTTAAAACAATTTAATGAATTGTCGACGAAACCTCGGCTAATGTGTGTAGTTCAGTTTCCATACTCTTGCTGCCAATAAATCTCCATGCCACTTCATTTGCGATCAAGAAGTTCTTGAACAAAAATAATGGTGTCAAGTTTTATCTAGCATAAGATGATACTGTATTTATAACAACATTGTATCAAATCTAGATTTTACTCTATTATTTGTTTCAGAATGTGATAAGGCATGTAATGGGTGCACAGGCGATGGCCCCGACATGTGTGAAAAATGTGCTGAGGGACACGTGTTAGATAAGGACATGTGTGTTGGTGAGTAGAAGGCTATTATGTATGCTGTAGATACAATTTTTGGCATGATGGATTTTATTTGGTTAGCTTTGTTTGTAGATTAGTACATTTGTTGGTGTATTTTTAATATATTTTTCCCCATCACATGATGCAACACACTATTTGCATGCCTCTTATTTTTTTCCATGAATATTTGTGTAATGGTTTCTGCAGTCTGACAATATTTTTAGTTTTTAATCGTTATGAAAGTCAAATTGCCATGTGGGACCCTGGCCTGAAATTTCAGTATTATCACATATCCTAGATACTTAAACCTTGTATCAAAATTTTGGTAGCATTAATTTTGTAAATATATTATTATTATCTACTTAATTATGAGGTGTATCTTCTATGGTTTAATTTTTGAAAGATGTTAGTGACTACTTCCGTCCAACTGTCGTTCCGCCTAGCTCACTGATTGCAGTTCCACCGTCACGGGTCATGAACCATGTTAACTTGTGTTAAATGTATGAGACAACTACTTCTGATTTTATTCTGTGGTGCAATATGTCACAAGTTCAAGGTCAAATATGTCAATATTGTAATGAAGGAGAGCGATGATTTGTCACCTACAAATCCACATTTAGATTTCATTCAACATTGTTACTAAATGCAAGGCATCAGTTCTTTTATCTAATTCTGAAGGACTGCTCTATAAATGTAATGAGCCGGTGGCTGAGCGGACAGAACACTGGACGCGTGATCTTGTGGTCCCGGGTTCGATCCCGGGAGCCGGCGAGAAACAATGGGCAGAGTTTCTTTCACCCTGATGCCCCTGTTACCTAGCAGTAAATAGGTACCTGGGAGTTAGTCAGCTGTCACAGGCTGCTTCCTGGGGGTGGAGGCCTGGTCGAGGACCGGGCCGCAGGGACACTAAAGCCCCGAAATTATCTCAAGATAACCTCAAGATATAATAGATTTTTGCATAAAACTGACACCCTGTCTTCAATTAGAGTATGTAATGCTCTCTTGATGCTTGCCTGCTGTTTTCTTAAATTCTTTGTGCAGTTGTGTTTATCATGTATTATGTTACCATTGCTGTTGATTTCTTCATATTGAAGTACTTGAGGTAAGTGCAGTACAGTTATGAAATAAAATAAACTTGTCAAAGCTAGCTGTGATTACATTGACTTGCTACCAGGGCTAACGTGAAGGTAGATCCCATGGAAGTACAGTAGCATGTTGCAGAGCATCTGCACGTGCACTGAAGTTGGTAAATTATCACAATGCCCACAATGCACAGGGCAAGTGCATGAAGTCTTTCATATTACTGGACTAAAACTTGTTTTGTGTCTAATGACAGTCTATGTTATGAGCAGCATAATGTCATAAGGGTTGTCGTGGATTTAGCCAGTGAAGAGAGAGTAGTAGTGCAGCAGTTCCATTGTAGAAACAAGTACCATGCAGTGGTCATCTTGGGAGCTACTGCTGGTCCATTCTGCCTCGGGCAGTACAGAGGAGATTAAAAGGTCAGTTCACCCACAATGGGTAACCTATGATTGGTGATTTGGCCATAACACAAGCCTTATGTGACCATGGATTAGCCTCAAATGTCCCAGTATGCCTAAAAACCATCAAATAGCCGATTGCTGATTGTGTAATCTCGGAGACAAGGGCTGGATCTGAATAGTAATTACTTCCACACCAAAGTCAAGCGTTCCCACCAAGGACATCAGCCATAAGATGTGTGTGGTTTTATTTAGCAGCCACTAGCTAGAAACACATCGTCCATGTCCTTTGGCTGTAAAATTATTACAGTGTCAAATTCTTTTCAAGTTCTTGCAAGCGGCCAGACTCCTGCTTTGTAACGTTTCGTCAAATTAAGTGGAATGAATGTACAGTATAGACATATGAAAGTACATCCAGAAGCAACAGGACTGTGAGAAGCATGGCCCATGATCGTGTGATATCTAAATTATCTGTATACCAAGATACAGAAATAGTTTTCAGCGAATGTTGTGTGTAATCTAAAGTAATCTCAGTGAAGGACCCTAAAGCAAAGTTTAGAAGGAAGAACCGAGAGACTATAGCCGCCACTGTTTTCTCACTTGAACCACCAGTGTTAGTCACCCACATGGCCATGCGTTACCCAGTCAACAGACACACCTGTAACCATGCTTCAGCCGTAGCAACCAGCTGCTGCCTGTTATCAACTTGACCCGCTCACCCATCTGTGTTCACTTCATGTGCCACTTAGCACGATTCATGTAAGCATGTCTGATTGCATGATCTGCATATATATACCGTGTGCAGTTGTCGTAAAAAGAATCGGCATAACTTCTACGAAACTGATGATTGTGAAGGTAAGCTATTTAAACCTGTGAGCTGTGTGAATGAGTCACTGTATGTGAGGCCAGAATTGCTGCAATTACTATACAGTAGAGTATTGTGATTTATGGCAATTTTATTATTGTCTGTCTTCATGCCAATTTTTGATCAGCCAGTGATTTACTTTCCCTGCTACTCATCCATAACAGGTGGAAGTAGAGTTTAAAACATTGACTGACAGTGAACAAGTAATAACACATTATATATATAATATATTTTCGCAGGAGGTTCTACTGTATATGTCTAACCAACACTTGAAACAATCAAGGGATCCTCGTTCTATTATGTTATGCGGTAATTGGTTCCACAAATCAACAACCCTGTTACCAAACCAGTATTTACCCAGGTCTTGCCTAAATCTAAACTTATCCAATTTTGACCCATTGTTTTGTGTTCTGTCTTGTGTTGATACTTTTAATATCCCATTAGTATCCCCCATATTAAAACACAAGAGCATTGACAGCTCTTATGAGTATTTGGATGATGCTGTGTACCAATGATTTAATCAGCACTGGAAGCTTTCAGAAGCTCTCGTTTTCAAAAACCCTTTTATCCCATATAAATGCTCTTACAGTATGAAGTCCGAGATTTTTTATAAGTAAGGCATGTCCTGAAAACTCTTTTGAGTAACCTTTAACACACATGTATTATCGCTGTCCTCTGAGGAGGCTTACTAATTCCCAGAGATTGTTACATATATCCTCTTCCCTTCCCCCCTCTTCGTTAGTTAGGATGAGTAAAAATTAGCAGATGCCCTTATAGAGTGGGGTTGTGGAGGGACTGGACTGGGGTTGTGGGGGGACTGGACTGGGGTTGTGGGGGGACTGGGCTAGAGGTTATGGGGGACTGGACTGGGGTTGTGAAGGGACTGGACTGGGGTTGTGGGGGGACTGGACTAGGGACTTGAGAGGAGCTTTTGAGGACTGGTCGAGGGTTAAACTCTTAATTACTCTGCCTTATTATGCCATCTCTATTTTTCATGACTTCTTTGTTTCTCTCTCTCAGCTACTGTCTTGGCAACCCTGAATGCTTTTGCACAATCTTGTTTTCCTGCCCTGCATTTCGTGCATTGTCTACATTTTTAGCCAGAATTTCTTTTTCAATCTTGAGTTCCTTGATCTATTCAATATTTTTCTCTCTTGTTTCTTTCTTGCTTTCTTACTTTTTGTTTGGCTACTGTCAAATTCTTGTATTGTCTCTTGAGCTCATTGGTGGTAATACTTGTGGCTGTTCCACTTCCTCTGAAGGTCCTTTGTTTAATTATTTATTCTGTACTCATTCTTGTCTCCTTATTCGTTCCTTTGGTCTTGCTGCCCTCATTATCATTATCTCTCCTTATTTTCATTGTTTTTGTTACATGACCTCGGGTCATGCAGCTAATTACTCAACTGGTCACTTCCACCCACAATGTGTCTTGATATACATTTGTGTAAAAAAAAGTTAATACTTTACCCTCTTGCTTGCCATTCTTTCAAGCACTTGTAGACAGTTTTTCAGTGATAGGCCAAGTTGATCCCTCTCCAGTCTCAATTAAAGTATGGAGCCTTCACTGCCCTCCCTTCAATTATAACTAGTCATGTTGGCTTCTCTGTTTTTTTTTATAATTAATTTGCCTTTAACTTCATGTGATGTATTTTCTCTTGCTCGAGTACTGTATCAGTATTGCTCCACATGTTAATTCATGTTTTGCATTATTTTCTTATATTCACGTACCCACACAAATAACACAATCACAATTGACAAGAAGCCACAGGTTCAAGCTAAAGAAACAAAGGTACCAAAAAAACATACAATTTCTCTTATGCGAACAGATTTGTAGACAGTCGGAGTAATTTAGTGAGGTGGTGGTGTGGATGACAAAACCATCAGTAGTTTCAAAAAGTTACACGAGAAAGATTATGGGGAAGATGGGAAACCACAAGTGCAGCTCTCATTCTGTAACTTCACTGTGGTAATTACAAGGCTTGTCATTACCTTCGCTACCCCTGGTATGAGCTGAAGAAGCAGAGAGTTTTTGGTCAGTGCTTTGCACTTTCACACATGCCTTTTTCTAAAGTTATATTAAATTTTACCAAAGCAGCAGTTCTACCAAATACTCACTCAACATAGTATTTTAATAAAAAATACAATACATATTCCTTGAGCATTGTTCTAAATGTTGTCACACTACAAAATGTTAGTATGGCCTCTCTTGGACCTAGTAACGTAACTAGTGGAGGGAGAAAGCTAGAACTTGTAGGGAAAAGAATGGTGGGAAATCAGTTGTCTCCCGAGTTATGTTGTTGATTCTGTGAAACGATAATAAACAAATTGTGAATCAAGAGAAAATTCTATCTATTCATTTGCCTGAATGTCTGTCTATTGAAAGGAATTTGTCATAAATAATAATAGTCTTGCTCCTCTAATTTTGGTGTATTTAAACTAGAAGTTAACGTTTTGTTTCTAAATATAAGATGCAGCGTGCCACAGAATCTTATCAAACTAGGTAATTTCCTTATTTACCAGTTAAGATTAATGACCTAAATGTGTTAGGCTGTGATGGCATTCCTTCCTGTATTTGGATATACATACAGTACCGCAGTTTAAAACTTGTGGAAGGTGCATATGTACAAGCAAACACAGAAGACAACCAATTTAGCATTGTGGCTGTGCTACTTAAATGTTCATCTGTTTTTGCATGAATACACCTGTCAATACATAGTAAAATTCATAGCACATATTTTGGTTACATTTCTAATTTTATAAACTATTAACATTTTGTATTTATAAATCCCCCTTATTTTACAGGGGTCAATTATTTTTAAATAATATGAACATTAAATTTGTATGTAATTGTCATCTCACTGATACAGTGGCATATAAAAACTCCAGCTAATGCCTTATTTTTCTGCTCATCTTATGTTTAAAGTTATATTACTCATGATACACAGAGCAAGCAACTTATTATTTGATGAAAGCTCTACATACATATACACTTGTACCTTGATGGCAAACTTCATGAATCCTTGGAAGAGACCACTAAAATAAGCCAAGAGTTAATACTTTGTGTAAAGGTCGTTTTTGGTTTTAAAGTTTGTCAAAATTTGGAATCTGCCACTTTATTATTTTCTGCCTTTTATGTAGAGGCTATAAAACAAGAAAGCAGCAGAATTTAGGATTTGCATCAGTTTTGTAAAGTTGTCATTCTACTGGTTGTTGCTATGTTGTGACTGTCATAAGTTACAATAGATTGTATGAAGTACTAGTACAGTATCATTATTTCTCTGTGCAGATTTCATTCTCAGTTAAATGCTCCATGCATTTTCACTTCATTTAAGGATAGTATATTGCATAAGGCACTTAAAAAAACACTTTCTTCTCCTAATTCCATATTGTCGTGATGGTGGCTGCGTGTGTTACAGACAATAGTGCGCAGGCTCGAGACAAACACATGACGTTCGCACGCTATGTCACATACGCAGGCCTAACGTTAGCCACGTGCATCATCCTCCAGAAGAACACAGTTATCGCTGCCATTGTTGGTCTAAGTGTGGCTGTGTACATCAGCTTCTCGGAGTACTACCTCAAGGACACGACTGCACCCCCAGTCACCCCCCAGCTCCCACCCTCTATGTTCTCCTCCCATGATATGAATGATTAGGATTCAAAATGCTTAGTATTGTGTGTGTGCAAGTATGAAGTCTTGCATTTTACAACTAGGATATCAAATCCTGTAATGAATTTTAATTATTAAATACGTGATTGCCAGCGAGCAATAGGTATTAAGTACAAGTGACAAAAGTACAGCAATGCATTTAGAATAGACAATATTAAGAGATGTGTTCAGTTGACAAACGTGCAGGCAAATACATGCAATTGGCATTCTGTTGGCTTATAAAATGTTAGTAACATCTTTGTAGTTTCTGGCTCCTAAACATTTGCATGTGACAAGAGGTTTCCAACAAAAACAATTATTTTTGGGGTAATTTAGTTGCAGTTGTGAATTAGCCTATTTGAATAGATTGGACTTTATTTTATATATGTATAATATATAATTTGTTAGATGATTTGTGTTTTACAGATTTGTGAAGCTTTTAGTTTGTTTCCAATTGTTCATCTTCTCAAGAGCTTCTCAATAGTATTTTCAATAAAGGCACAAAATAGTTTTTCCCCAATTTCTTCACTCTTCGTCACTGCCCAGACAAATATCAGATGGAACATCTAGTGGCAGGGGGAAAATAAATCTTTGCTTGTTCCCTGGAATGATGCTTATGCCTTGAAGCCCCTGTCCTCCCCTCCCCTTTCCCATCGCCTAATGAAGGGGGTTAAGAATTCTGTGTTTTTGATCATTTTCTGTGCATCTTTCATATACTTAGTTTTTTTTATGTGCCATGTAGCTATAATTTATTTTTGTAATACGTTCCGTGGATTGGTTGTAATTCATGGAAAACATGATATTATTCTTATTTACAAAGTTACCTTTTTATTTAACTTAATTATTTTTCTAGTGTGAAAATATTCACATGACAATGAAGGTTGTAACTTCGATTCAGTTTAGTATGCAGCATTCTTCCTATATGTTTGATAACTGGTTCATTTTCATTTGATAATTTCCCCAATATCTTACTCGCGTTATCTCTGATAAAAAAAAAATGTAAGTGACGAACGATGAGAGGTATTATGTTTTACAAATTGTCTCGCTATGCAGACGATGAGTCACAGTAACGTGGCTGAAGATATGATGACCAAACCAGACACCAGAAGATGAGATGACATTTCGGTCTGTCCTGCACCATTATCAAGTCGATTGTGATAATGGTCCAGGATGGGCCAAAATGTCGTCATCTCATCTTCTGGTGTGTGGTTTGTTCATCACAAATTGTCTCCATTAGAATGCTTGCTGATTTGTATTAAAAACACATGAAAAATGTATACTGTATTCTATACAGATTAGTTGTGATGCTTCCTTGTTACTTCAAATATTAATATGGCCAGTCTTCCTTTTTTTTTATGGTTGGAATAAACAATTATTGTAGCTGAAAATATCAATAGGCTGTACTTGCACCACAGTTAATATGGATAGCCAGCTCAAGACGAGGAAATTATAAAGAGAGTACTGTATACGTAAAACTTATATTGGTTTCAGTTAAGTGTTCACTTTAGCCTGGATCATATAGCAGCCCTTGCATTGAATAGAGTTGGTTAATGCAGCTTTTGGCTCATTTGCCATATATTTGACCAGCTGATGGGAAACCTTTTGGACCCTCGCTGGACTATACCGTATTTGGTTGTATTCAGACAAGGTTTAGCTTTCAAATAGCACTCGAGTTGTTGATATTCATGGTCATGCATCATCTACCTCTTTTTGTTTATATATTAGTTGCTCCTTTATTGTTTTCATCTTCAGTCTTGAATAGAAAATCAACGTTGTGAGGTTAGTGTCGTAGTTACAGTAATTCACCATGAAGGTTAAGCCACTGAGCTCTTTCACCATTTTCATACCTGTTATATTAAGACAAACTGTAATTTATAGATTATTAATAAAGAAATAATTGTGTGTGAAGTTATTAGATCACTCTGCAACAGTCTTTTAATAGCTGAAGTCATCTTAATGTGTTCCAGTTTCTCATAAAGATTTTCTTAAAAGTTAATCATGAATTTTCTTATCCTGTTAGTGCATGCTGTTTATTAGTACAAGAAAGTGATTTCAATTATTTAATTGAAATCTGATTTAATAGAGAATGGTATTATGCTACTAAGGGCAATCAGACCAGTAATAAAAATACTGTATATTAAACCTTGTGTATGTAATGTAATTATCAGGAGAAAGCACTAAGCCAGTACAAATACATAACATATGAAAGTGAGGAGGATAAGGATTTAGGATTGGACAGAGGAAAGGAATGGTCTCCAACCACTTGGATGGTTGGAATTGAATGTCAAACTGCAAGAAGTGAGGTCATTGCTCTACCGTCCAGTCAAAGTGGTTGGGCTAAACCATACGTGATTTTTGTGTTATACTCGAAAAAGTAAATTAAAGGGTATTTTATTTTGGTAATATAAAGCTGCATCATTGTACCAAGTTAGAAAGCACTAACTGGTTCTTGTTGGAAATTGTGTTTTTTTTGCTTCCAATAAAGGTGGCAAGTTTATTTGGATAGCACGTGCTGTCATTTTGTGCCATCACAGACATGTTGGATACAAGTACAGCTTTATGGTTAATATATATGTACAGTAGAACCTCGAGTAACAATCGCCTCAAATGGCGAGCATTTTGGGTAACAATCACCCAGATCGCTGACAATTCGTCTTGTATGGCGACCGTTCGTTTGAATGACGATAGATCCACATGGTGGGGGTCGTGCTGCTTCTCGCACATTCTCGGACGCCTCCGATAATGCAAATACATTATTTTGTTTTTGTTTAAAGATTCTTTTGATAATTACTTACTTTTGTTTAAAGATGCTAACGATGCTGGATTATAAAGGGGTGACTGCTGAGATGTTGCAAAGCAATGACTTTTTTGTTTAATTCCGAGGTACAATGGGTCATTGCTGGTTTTGTTGGTTAATTGGTACATTCCTGCAAAGCCACTTATATACACATTATTTAACATGTAATTATTATTTAACGTCGTCATTATTACCACATCATTATTTGACACGGGTGGTACACACACAAGGGGACACAGGTGGAAACTTAGTACCCAAATGAGCCACAGAGACATTAGAAAGAACTTTTTCAGTGTCAGAGTAGTTAGTAAATGGAATGCACTAGGAAGTGATGTGGTGGAGGCTGACTCCATACACAGTTTCAAATGTAGATATGATAGAGCCCAGTAGGCTCAGGAATCTATACATCAGTTGATTGACGATTGAGAGGTTGAACCAAGGAGCCAAAGCTCAAGCCCTGCAAGCACAACTAGGTGAGTACACAGCATTTTGGGCAAGTTTTAATGCAAACAGAGAATTTGCAGTGATATTTAGGATTCATGGTACATAATCAATCTCAAACGAAGAAATAAAGTTACTGACTGAGGTATACATTGAGAAATAGCAGTAATATATGAATTAACATGATTAAGTAGTGTAATGGCTACTATATATAAATTAGTTATATGGGAAGAAAGTGATAATGTGAAATTATTTAAGAGTTAGGCTTTAGATAAAACGGTACTGGATAAGTTAGTAGCACAAGGTGGAATCCTTAAGTGGGGAAATAAAGTATTACTATTAGATCATTTTCTGTGGTGAGCCCTGTTGGCTCCCTGAAGCTATTCAGACTGATGTGTGCTATATTAGTTTGGGGATATCAGTTACGGAAACTCTACCTACCAGGGACCTCAAGCCAGAACCTGCCCCCCTCCCCTCAGAGAGGTGCAGGGAGCAATGGCTATATGAGCACTACATTTAGAATATGTCATGTTTGCCATTGGCCAAGGTATACACCCAGAAAGGTAGGCATAACAATACAATCCTCCAACTGGTGAAAATTGCAACCTACATCCAAATGGAGACAAAGAACTCCCCCACCCCAAAAAAATAAACAAGCAAATCGTCATTGTCATCCAACACTTGGGGGGGACCCCTTTCACCGACAGGATAGGGGAAGCCCGTTCAGGCGAGCCGGCAGCTCAACCCTCCAGTTCTTGACTGGTGTGCACTGGGGGCACACGTTACCTCTGGCCTCGCTTTCCTGTCTGGATTTTTTGCCCTGTGTGCCTGTGCCAGATGTGGGGTTATCTTGAGATGATTTCAGGACTTAGCGTCCCCGCGGCCCAGTCTTCAACCAGGCCTCCTTTTTGTTACACACTCCCAGGAAGTAGCTCGTAGCAGCTGTCTAACTCCCAGGAACCTATTTTACTGCTAGGCGAACAGAGGCATCAGGATGAAAGAAACTGCCCATTTGTTTCTGCCTCCACCGGGGATCGAACCCAGAACTTTAGGACTACGAATTCTGAGTGCTGTCCACTCAGCTATAAGGCCCCCCTTACAGCTAAGGGGTGGTTGTGGTGTCCAGGTGTTCTTCTGTACACAGGGCTGCATGCATCTAGGGCTAGATGCCCTTTAAGTATTACCCTTGCATGCTCAGGGTCATCTTCCCGGGAACATTCGGGATTCACTCCCGTTGAGATCTCCGTTGCTTGGCGTTTGCCTCACCCTTTGGGTGGGGTGGGGGTCTTCGGTTTCCGTCCTGCCCTGGGTAGGGAGTGTGTTCTGCCTAGCTTCCCATTAGGTCTGCTTAGGTTGTGTTTGGTAGTATTTCTCTGGTGCCCTTGAGGTTCCATGATTACTACTGGTGGTCAGTTTGCCTGGTATTAGGCAGCGTTCAACTAGCTTACCTAGCCCAGTGCCTGGGTTTCCCTCCCCCTATGGGACCTGGAAAACACCTTAGGGCTCTGGGTGACTATAAACATGGCCTTCAAGTCCTCTCTCATCTTGGGCGAGGTCGAAAGTTGTTCGTTACTCCTGTATCAGGGTGATGTTCATCCGTCCTGCCTCCATCATGCTGCTTGTTGAGTCGGTGACACCTACAACCTGGGGTCCTGTGGGATTTGTTTCCCGCTTGTACTCCAGTTTACCTCCTCCATTTGTACTCCAGTCCAGCTCCCAAGCCCCCGACCCTTGGGAGCCTGTTTGGATTATGGCTGTTTTAACTGTGGTGCTATTTTGTAAGGGTGTTGTATTATTGAGGTGTCATAATATGTTTATGGACGACTATTGTAACTTTTCGTTCACATGGTGCATTTTTCCGCTGGCAACTTTGGTGGGTTGGGCTGCCCCCATGTTCGTTTCCGGGTGCCCTGGGGTTTCTCAGATTCGTCTTTTCGGAACTTTTCTTCCTCTCGGATTCCTCTTGGGGGGGGTTGGGGGGCCCCTTGGTGTATGCCTGCTGCAAGACCCGGTTCGCCTTTGTGTTGGACTCCAATTTTTTTTTAGTTCGATTCCTCTTCCCCTGATAGGGGGCATTTTGAGGTTCCGGTGCCTTCTTGGCTGGCAACCTAACTTGATGGCTGGTTGGTGTGGGCTCCCTCCCAGTCTGCTAGCCAGGGTTCTGGTTCTTCCCAGCTTGCCCGGTTTGGGTTCCTGGTGTTGGTGGAAGTCCCAGTGGGTTCCTTCCCAGGTTCAGACATGGCTGGGCCTGATGGGGATTCTTAAATGGTGTCCATCTCTCTCACTCCTGCAGCTTTGCTCTGGCTGTGGTCCTGCATTCGGCTGTTGCTGAGGGGACCCCGGGTCTCTCGGCAGTTGCTTGTGCAGTGTGCGTAAGCCTGTCCTTTGCTATGCTGGTTTACCTGCTGGGCAGAGTTTGACTTTGGTGGCTGTTCTGGTATCCTTCGGGCTGCCCATTTCACCACTCTCTCACGTCTGTTGGGTTCTTTCCCTGGGGTCCTTGTGTCAATTGCTGTGTTGTAGCTTCCTGTGGGGTTTTCAGGGTTCGGTGCCATGACAAATTTTCCCGTCCCTTGCTTAATGTGTTCATGGATGCTTCATCTATCGGCTGGAGCTAAGTGACCTGCAGTCACCAGGCTGGCCAGGGCCGCTGGGCTCTGTACTTCCGTCGGACTCTCAGCTCGGTGAGTGGGTTTGCAACTGTGTGACAGGTGCTGTGGCAGATTCGGCTTCCTAGGGGCTCCTTGATCAGGTTCCATTCATACTGCTTCCTGGGAGTTCCTTGTTTCCACCAGGGAGAGTTTCTGCAGTCTATGGCTCTTTGGAGCGGATCGCTTCGGGTGGCTTTCTGCTGAGTTCTCGGGGTTTTGTTTTCCGCACTGTTCCCATTCAGGAAGTTTCCAACGTCCTGGCAGAAGGCCTGTCACGCTTCATTCCTCTTTCCACAGTGTGGACGGTCGACGATGCCTCTTTCCTTTGGCTTTACTGGACATTTGGGCACCCGAAGGTGGATCTCTTCGGGTCGACATGGTCCCGGCGTTGTGGCCGACGTGGCCGACTGCGAGGCCATCACGTTGAATGCTTTTCGGCAGGATTGGTCAAGATGGAGGTTCCTGCATCTTTATTTACTGGTCCAGGTGTTGGCTCAGCTCGAATCCTATCGGGGACAAGGGCTTCTCCTGGCCCCATGGTGGCTGGTCCAGCCTTGGTTTCAGGCGCTGCTTGCTCGTTGTCTAATCCCGAGTTTTTCCACGGCTCTGCCTCTTTCAACAAGTCGGGCCAGTGAGGTACCTCATTGGTTTTCCCTATTCTACGCATCTGGTCTTTTTGATGTGGTTGTATCGTCATTTATGTGGTGATCAGGTGGCTTCTTTGATGGTGTCTTACCTGCAATCTTCCTCTCAATGACAGTATGAAGTCTCTGGCAGTCTTTCCGCCATTTCCTTTTTTTTTTCACAGGGTCTCATTGGTTTCGGTTCCGGTTGTTTTGTCCTCTCTTTCTTGGCTTTTATTCAGGACCGGCATCACATGCTGAATATTGTCACTACTTATCGAGTGGCGTTGGCGGAGCTGCTCCAGCTTGCGTTCGGATGTCTCTTCAGCTCCGTTCCATAAGCTCTCTTATGCATTATTCACCTCCAGCCTGCTCATGCGCTGCCTGAGCTTTCTTGATCTTTGGACAGAGTGCTCTCATTTCTCTCCTCTCCTCGATTTGTTGTGTCCCCTTTGGTCCGTGATTGTTTTTATGAAAGCTTTAT